CACAACCCCATCTTCCTCATTGCTTGCTGCAAACAAAGCCACCTGCTGCCGCAGCTCTTCAAAGGTCACCTTCATGATCTCCTCTCTGCCTTCCCCTGGGAACAGAGGAGGACAGGTCATCGGCAGGGCCACCACGGGAACGCAGGCAGCACACGCATGCAGGGAGCCCACAGGCAAGACATGGGCGGCTCTGGTGCCCAGGAGAGGAACTCGGGAGCGGAATTCACGGTGGAAGACCTGGTGCCCAGGAGAGGAACTCGGGAGCGGAATTCACGGTGGAAGACATCCTATCGGGAGGGCTTTTATTATGACAAGACTTGGGTTGTGCGTTGTAATTCTGAAACAATGACAAAGCCACAAAGACAGGACAGGGCAGCCCTGTGTCCCTACCCCTACTCCCCTGGGTCACCCTGTGTGTAACGGCAGTGCAGCGTCCAAGCTGGGGGGTTGACATGGCCACACCTGCTTCTGACACACTTCCTGTGACCACAGTCGAGGCACAGGACATCTCCAGCAGCACAAAGACCTGCAGTCACCATCCCGTCCCTGCCACGCCCGGCGACCACCAAGCTCTCCTCTGCAGCCTCCAGCGGGGCTCGGTTGAGCTAAGGCACGCCTCACGGACTCACTCTCTTACTGCACAGTCCCACTCGGCTCTGGCTTGGTTTTGAGCACTTTTAGGATCCCAAAGGTATTGAAAACTCACGGAATACAACTTTGACAAGCGCAAGAAAAACACAATAAAATGAACAACCTCACTAGTGACCAAAGAGACAGACACTGCAGCAGTGAGACACCGTTCTCAGGCCACGGATGGTAAGGACGGATGAGGGCGGCATGGTGCCAGCGCCCACGGCAGCCCCCAGGACCCTGGCCTGGGCCTCCCACTCTCCCACAGCCCCTCCCACTCTGCACAGATAGGTGACACTAGAAATGAGAGTGACTTCTGAGCCTTGGCCAAAAATACACACTGAACCTGCCACGTGGTGCTCTCTAGGGGAAGCCAGCTGCTGCACCAGGACACGGGCAGCCCAGGGGTCCACGTGGTGCGACCCAGCCGTGTGGCGCCCCATTCTGCGTGGGAAGCCCCCAGCCTCAGTCAGATCTTGGGCTGACAGCACAGGGCTTCTGAGACCGCCCTGCTAGGCTGCTTCTCAGGGTATGAGCCTAGAAACCGCGAGACGGGTACTGCCTGCGGTGTTGAGCCACAGCATGAGGTCACTAACGCAAACAAGGCCGCTGCTGGGACGGAGTGGGAGAACCACCTGCGCGTGCTGCTCTTCCGACCACGCTCCGGATGCAAACGTGTCTCCTGCACGCTGACCGCCTCCGGTTCTGTAACACACAATCTCCCGCTTCCAGGATGAGCACCCTAATCCCTGTGCTGTGACCCAGGCTTCTTCCCCTTTGCTGACGTACACACCTGCCTATCACTTCTGTGGCCGCCTCTGCCTCCCCTCTCCCAGGTTCCCACCCACACCATTTGCTCTTGTCCAAGAAGGCTCGGTAACTTGAACTCGGCTCTCCAGAGCTCAAGCATGTAGTGCAGGAAGCTGTCCACCAGCTTTGCCACGAAGGGCTAATGCAGATGGGCTGGCAGCACTGGGTTCAAGTCCCAGCTGCTCCACTTCAATCCAGCTCCCTGCCTAGGAAAGCAGCCAAAGACCGGCTTGGGCCCCTGATCCCACGTGGGAGAAGGAGACCCAAATGGAATTCTGGTTCCTGGCTTTGGCCTGGCCCAGCCCCAGTTGATGGGGCAGCTGGGAAGTGAACCAGCAGGTGGACAGTGTATCTATCTATCTACCTCTCTCTGTGTGTCTCCCCCTCCATCGCTTTCCCTTTCAAATAAAAAAAATTTTTTTCAAACAATGCAAGGCCTGAGTTGTGAACACAGAAGGTTCAGCGTCTCCACCATTCGAGTGGGCCTCCCAACAACATCATAAAACATTCCGTTTCCAAAATGGGTACAGAGGTTGGCGCCTTGGCATAGTGGGTAAAGCCACCACTTGCAGTGCCAGCGTCCCTATAAGGGTACTGGTTCAGTCCTGGCTGCTCCACTTCCAATCCAGCTCTCTGCTGTGGCCTGGGAAGGCAGTAGAAAATGGCCAAGTCCTTGGGCCCCTGCACGCACATGGGAGACGCAGAGGAAGCTCCTGGCTTCCAGCTTCGGGTCAGCACAGCTCTGGCTGTTGTGACCATCTGGGGAGTGAACCAGCAGATGGGAGACCTCTCTCTCTCTCTGCCTCTCTGTAACTCTGCCTCTCAAATAAATAAATCTCTTTAAAAAAAAAAAGTGGGTACAGTTCCATTACTCAGAGGCCAACAGCTCACCCACCTAGAGATTTCCGTACGTGAGATGCCTCAAATACTAACAATACTAGATAAAGTCAATGTCACTTTTTAACATCATTACTGTGTAATAAATGTTCAGCTTTAGCAAAAACTCAATCAAGCAGCAAACCACATTAGCTCCTTATTAAGAAAAACCCTAGGGGCTGGTGCTGTGGCGCAGCGGGTTAAAGCCCTGGCCTGAAAGCGCCAGCATCCCACATGGGACGGGTTCTAGTCCCGGCTGCTCCTCTTCCAATCTAGCTCCCTGCTATGGCCTGGGAAAGCAGTAGAAGATGGCCCAAGTCCTTGGGCCTCTGCACCCACGTGGGAGACCCAGAAGAAGCTCCTGGCTCCTGGCTTCGATCAGCCAGCTCCAGCCAGTGTGGCCTTCTGGGGAGTGAACCAGCAGATGGAAGACCTCTCTCCCTCTGTCTCTACCTCCCTCTGTAACTCTTTCAAATAAATAAAATAAATATTTTTTTTAAAGTGTATTTAAACATTTCCGTTATTATATCACCGAAGCTGCTTAACGCAGGGCCAGCGTTGTGACATGGCTGGTTAGGCTGCTGTCTGCAACACCAGCATCCCATGTGGGCACCGGTCAAGCCCTGGCTGTTCCACCTTGATCCAGCTCCCTGCTAACGCACTTGGGAAGGCAGCAGCAGATGACCCAAGCATTTGCCCCCTCCCCTGCACCCATGGATGGAGTTCCAGGCTCTTGGCTGTGGCCTGGACCAGCCCAGGCCCTTGTAGCCATTTGGGGAATGAAGGCTTCCCTCCTTCTCCTTCTCTCTCTCTCTCTCTCTCTTTGTAACTCTGCCTTTCAAATAAATATTTTTTAAAAAGAAAGAAAAGAAACTGCTTAATATGATACGTAAACTGGAATATTCTTTTTTTTTTTTTTTTGAGATTTTTGTATCTTGTTTGAAAAACAGAATGACAAAAACATAGGGAGGGACACAGAGAGAGAGACCAACCATCTGCTGGTTCACTCCCCAAACACCTACAGCAGCCAGGGCTGGGCCAGCCCGAAGCCAGGAGCACCATCCGGGTCTCCCACATGAGTGGAAAGGACTCAGTCCTCGGCTGCCTCCCAGGCACGTCAGCAGGAAGCTGGATCAGAAACAGGGTAGCCAGGCACCCTGATATGGGCTGCAGGCATCCCAATGCGCTGCTTAACCTGCTCTGCCATAGCACCCACCTCTGGAACATTCTTCACGCTTTCTTTTAGGAGAAGCCAGGGCCAGTGTTGTGGCACAAAGGGTTAAGGCAACACCTGTGACACCAGCGTCGCAGGAGAGCCAGCTTGAGTCCTGGCAACTGCGCTTCTGATCCAGCTCCCTGCTAATGCAGCAGAAGACAGGGCGAGTCCTTGGGCCCCTGACACCCATGTGGGAGGCCAGAATGGAGCTCCAGGCTCCTGGCTTTGACCTGGATGAGACTGGGCTGTGGCAGTCATCTGGGGAGTGAAGCAGCAGATGGAAGACCTCTCTCTCTCTCTCTCTCTCTCTCTCTGTCTGCTTCTCCTCTGTGTAACTCTTCCAAATAAATAAATAAATCTTACAAAATAAATAAAGGGGGAGAGGGGAGGGAGGGGGAGGGAAGGAGGCCAATGAGTAGTGATTCTGGCCACAGTTCCATCACTAACCCAAGCGAGTCCTTAACATTAAGTGTCCCCATTTCTCCTGTGACACAGGGCCACACAGCTGCGAACAAAGTCAACAGAAGTCTTCATGGTGTCCGGAGGGCACAGGGCCACCCGCAGGGTGTGTGGGCGGGCCCCCCAGAAGGCAGAGCCCCCCCCACACACACACACACACACACACACGACACCTGCACGCAGGACTCACTGGCCACGTAGAGGGCGACCCTGTCATTCTCTGTGTGCCGCAGCAGGTTTTCCGCGTAGTTGAGACGACTGCCGCGGAACCACTCGGGGACGTCCGCGATCCCTTTTGACGTGTCCACAACCTGCAGGGGGTGACAGCAAACCAGGAATGTGCACACCTGTGATCGGCATCGTGAAAGAATACAACGATCACGCCACCCAGGAAGCCGCTGCCTGGCTGGCCCAAAGCCCAGCCAGCTCATCCCACACGCTGAACTGGAAATCCGCCCAAAGGCTGCAGCCCCAGCACGCAGTTAGGCTTCCCCGGCAACCTCCTCTCTCCACATCGCTCACCAAGCACCCTACTTAGGGAAGATGCCGGAGACAAAGGAAACACAGCCTGCGGCGCGCCAGGCCCTGCCCTCCCCGGCCAGGCGAGCGCTGGAGCCCCGCCTCTGCTGTCTTCCTCGGGAGCTGGGATTTGTTTTCTTGGCCATGCAGACAGATGAACCTTCCAGGATGGTGTGTCCCCAGGAGACGATCCCAGAGCACAGGGCTCTGAATACAGGCTTCCCTTGCCTCGGGTATGGCTTGATCAGCCATGTAAGAGTTGAAAAGCACTCAGAACTCCAGTTTAAAACAATAATGGAAGCACAAATGGTTTTTTAAACACTACAGCCAACATACACATACTTAACACCATCAAACTATACATGAAATGGTTAAGATGGCAAGTTATATGCTAAGTGTGTTTTATCACAATTAAATATTTTTTAACTTAAAAAAAATACAGCTATGCCCTTCGCTGAGGACCACGCAAGCTCCCAGGACAGGGCTGGGGCCACACCGGCAGAGGTCCCGCGGCCCACCCCAGCAAGCGCCAGTTGCGAGGGCCACGGCTCCGCACCACTGCTGTGAGGAAGACAGGACCGTGTCCCCCGAGTTCACGTTCCACCCTGAGACGCAGCCTCACCTCATCATAATGCGTGAGAAGACAAGCCGCTGAACTTCCAGAACTCCGCCCAGAAGTCGGGATACGACTCCACGGACCAATGGTACAGGTCGTTGTAATTCTCTGCAAACGAAACCAAACGAGACGGCGCGGGCTCAGGAGGGCCAGGAAGGCAGGCGTGGAGGTCCCTGAGCTGCCCGCGTGAGCCAAGAGCTCTGGGGAGCAGCGGCCCCGAGAGGAGGGGCCGGCTCTCACTGAGGCCAACCCACCACCAAGTCCAGTCCCCAGAGGGCCTGGCCACGGGGCGCAGGCCACTGAACTCGGGCTCCGGCCCTGGCCCAGCCCGGAACCAGCTGAGCGACCTTGGCCGAGTGCCCTCAGCCCCTGCAGCACGAGGCTGATGAATGGCGGCCGTCTGGTGGCTGCTCTCAGAACGATGCGAGCACCTGTACGGCGTGGTCAGAACAGGGACACGGCCATGAGGGCACAGGTGGGCTTTGCAGTTGTTACCCACGCGCTGAAGAGAGCTGGGGCGACAGGCTGGCGGGCCCAGAGCTCCTAACCGGCAGCTTGTGACACACGTCCCACGTCAGTACACGGGGCGGGGGAAGGGGCGGCTGGATTGTTTTTTTTGACCTCTGAGTTAGGAACACATTCAGGACTTCTCAGAATCACAGACCTACAAGAGGAGGCACCGGTAACAACTGTCCCTCCTCAGAGTTCACACCTGGGCCAAGCACTCCACTCTCCACCTGCACGACACCCACCCACTGGGACTGGACGGCAGCCCCTTGCCCTCGCTGGACCGTCTCTATCTGGGACGTTCCAGGCAGGAGACGCATCCCATGCACTCCAACACAAAACCAGCAACTGGCTTCATGCACAGCCTCCCGTGGCCACTGGGCTCGGCTGAGACATTTAAATACCCACCCCCCCCCACCCCATCGGCCCGCGCGCACTCTTCCCCAGGACTCGGGAGTAGGCCGCCTTACTCTCCTCACTACAGACCTGCATCAGAGCATAAAAAGCTGCCCCGTCCTTTGCAGCCGCATGGAATTCCGCTGCAACTGGGGCACAGCACACTCAACCAGCCTTCTACGCAGGGCCCCAGGGATGACCCATGCAGGCAGAGGCTGGTGGGGACAAAAAGCCTAACTGCCCTTGCTGACCCCTGGCGCTCACGGCACAGGCTCCCTGATCCTGCCCACTGAGGGCTGGGGCAGGAGGAGGGCGTGGGCGGGCCCCGGCAGCAGGGCCGGGTGTGGACACTCGGAGGATGCCCTCCTCAGCTGTAGAAACACCAGAGGCCCGGCCAGAGCGCGCGGGAGGCAGCAGGTGCAGCAGGAAGGAAGATCACGCCACGTGCACGGGAGCCGGCTCCCAGGGCAGCCGGCCAGGATCACGGAACAGAGTGCAGCTGCCTTGGCATGGCCCGGAGCAGGGATGCCAGTGCCGCCATGGGAGCCACGGAGTGGGCTGAGCAAGCACGCACGAGAAACGCCAGGGATGGCGAGGCTGGGAGCCCAGGCCGGCACCGACTCGAGGGACCTGGCCTGGCCTGCTCAGGAAGACACTCTGCTGCTCCCTCCTGGGAAATCGCTGCCTGGAGGGGACCACGGCCCCTCCCACGAGAGTGGAGCAGTTGCCCTGGGCTGCAGGGTCAGGACGGATGACCTGACTGAGACCCTGGGCTCTGCCCCTCTGGGGACTGACCTCGTCTGCTTCCCCTCCCTGAGCTCAGCGCTGTCACCTGTCACACGGGGACAGGCTGCTGTGCAGACTGCGAGGACCCCTGGTTACAAGGCACAGGCTCCGGAGGTCAGCCGTCCTGGGTCACAGGTGCCTCTGACTGGGCGCCTCGGACGCACCCTTCCCTTTCTCTGGCCAAACTTTCTTCCTCCAGGAAAGGAGGAGAATGACACAGAGCATGCCCGAAGGGGTTGGCCGTCAGCATCACCCAGAGGGCCTGCAGGAATGCCTCATGGGAGGACGCCCGAGCACACGCAAGGCTGAGACCCGGACGCAGGGAGTGAGGAGGAGGAGTCTGTTCACCTCTCGCCCTGGGAGAGGAGCCCCTCTCTCCCAGCGCCCCAGCCACAGACCCCGCCTCCAGCTGACAGAAGATGAGCACGGGCACAAGGCCCCTCCAAGGCCCAAGACAACAGCGTGTCCTCCATCAGCACCCTGAGGGAGAGGTGGTCAGCTCCGGGAATCCAGGGAACAAACGCGCAGAGCCGCCTGCGGAGGACAGCGGTGTGGGCCTACAGCCAGGCCGTCATCCAGTACCAGGCTTCACACAAGCGGTAGGCCGGCCTGTGGGCCTCTGCTCTCATGCCCCCGCCTGAACTCACACCCTGCCACCCAGCAGCCCACACTGCACACTGGCTTTACCTGTCCCCTCCTGGTCCCCGCCGCCCTCCGGGCTTCCACCCCTTCCTCTCTCCACCTGTGAGATGTCGGCCCACCTACACCTTCAATTCTCAGCTAAAGATTCGGCCAGCAACCTTCCTTTTTAAAAAAAAAGACATGCGGAAGCCAGCAGCCGAAAGCTCCATCCCAATCTCCTCGCAGGTACGCTGGCAGGAAGCTGGATAGGAAAGAGAGTAGCCGGGACTGGAACTGGGCACTCCAATACGGGATGTGGGCCTCCCAAGCAGTGGCTGCACCACTGGCCCTCACTCAGTTCTTGGGACAGCGTTCTCTGCTAACCCCAGCGCTCCACGGGGTACTCAGGACGCGGACACCAACCTGCAGCGTCCTCCCCACGCCCGGCGTTGGCTGGCAGCACCGTCTTGGCCCGAGCCTCCCGCTAACCACGCCGGGGCTGTCTCAGAGCAGGGGCCAAGCCTCGTGTGCTGGCAAGCTCCACCCCAGCTGCTCGCAGACAGCTGATCTGCGCTGTGGCACGCAGGCCACTCGGCACAGTCCTTCCAAAAGGCATGTCCTTTGAAGCCGGGGCCACCTCCCTGCCCCCTGGCTAGAGAGGCCTGCTCCTCACGGCACGTCCTTGCAGGAGGCCTCGCGTCACGCAGGTGCACGCCACTCCCGAGCCTGCAAGGGGACCGGGGGAAGCAAGGACAGGACAAAGCAACGTTCCCCAGCGGTGGAAAGGGGGAACGCGTAGCTCCCGAGACACAGGCACAGAAGCCTCCTGGTCTGCGAGCCGGGCTCACGGAGGGCGGCCAGGGCAGCAAAGGTCCCTCCCTCCAGGCCTGCCTTGCTCTCTGTGTGCACCCTCTACGCCAGCTGTGAGCGACCCACAGTTGGGGACATGTTCACGGACACAGCCGCTGTCTCTCAGCAATGAGAGTGCTCACCAGCCATGAAACGGCAAGGCCGGTCCACGTGCGCCTGGCGGAGGACAGAAGGTGGCACTTGAGTGGGGTCGGCCGCGGGAGAGGAGAGGCGGGTGGAGTGAGAGGAGGACGAAGGGCAGAAACAGCTCACACCCCACCCGTCCGGGGCAGGGGGCAGACCCCACACCGCAGGGTATCTGTTGAAGCTGGAAGGCTTGCTTTTCACGGTGGTCTCCCAACTTTTAAATGCAAGCAACTCAGGGCCGGCGCTGTGGCACAGCGGGTAAAGCCGCCGCCTGCAGTGCCAGCATCCCATATAGGCACCGGTTCAAGTCCCAGCTACTCCACTTCTGATCCAGCTCTCTGCTGTGGCCTGGGAAAGCAGAAGATAAGCACAGTGCTTGGGCCCCTGCACCCGCGTGGGACACCTGGAAGAAGCTCCTGGCTCCGGATCAGCACAGCTCCGGTCATCTGGGGAGTGAACCAGGGGATGTAAGACCTCTCTCTCTGCCTCTCTGTAACTCTGCCTTTCAAATAAATAAACCTTTAAAAAAATAAAATCAATGCAAGCAACTCAACAGTGTGTCTAGGGATCAGCTCGGACCCCGGGCCACCAGTCCGAGAGCCTGGCAGGAGGAAGCCGGGCAGGCCAGGGCTGCCAGTGTGCACTCTGCCACCTGCAGACCAGGCGCAGCGCCAGGCCACCCCAGGGTGCCCTCCTACCCACCGATGACTGACTACAGATGAGGAAGCGGAGGCCCGGGGGACACTACACTTGTTCCTAAGCGGAGGGGAAGGGGCAGAGCCAGTTCCAACCCCAGGTGCTCAGATTCCAGACTCCTCTCACCACGTCCCACCCAGGAAGGGGGTGCTGCCCACCTCACGGGGTTGCCCTTCGGGGAAACTGGCAAAGCACCAGGGCAGACAAGAGTAGGAGACGGGTACCCTATCACTGCTGGCAGGGGAGACAGACACGGAGTTAAGAGGAGGGGCACAGCAGGAGGTGACACCCCCCTCCCCAGACACATGGCCTCCTGGGCCTTCCTGTTCACCCCCATCCAACCACCCAACCTGAGACCACTCAAACATCCAGCTCCCATGGGAGGGAGGGAGCTGGGTTTGCCAAGGGAAGGGACACTGGGCCGGGGTGGGGATGGGGTGGGTGCCTGGAGCTGCCAGGTGCCAGTCGGTTGGTCAACAGGAACCACTGAGAGTCTCTGAGCCGGCAGCGACTAAGCCACACGCCACACCTGCGCCTGCAAATCTCCGTGGCACGGCCGGAGGCAGCAAAGCAGGAAGCAGGAAACCAATGGTTAAGGAGGAGGAAAGCCCCGGGGCTGGCAGGGAAGGGAACCAGGCCGCTGAGCCGGCCTCCCGGGCAGGGCAGGGGGCTCGGCCGCTTCTGGGAGGGAGACGTCCCCAGAGAGACACGCGGCTGAGGGCGGGGGGCGCTCAAAGCCTGGATCAGCAGAAAACCCTGAGGATGCCCGGGCAGCAGGGTGGAGCCCTCGGAGCCAGCACATGGGTGGCCCTCGCCCCGACCCGAGGCCTCCGCGCCCCCTCCGGACGGACAGGCGTGCGCCAGGGGGCCGGACGCTGGCTCAAGCGGTCCTTGCCCAGGGCCAACCCCAGTAACAGGAGGGCGCCCCGGGCCACCCCTCCGGGCCCCCGGAACTGCTGATGGACACGCGTCAGAGGCTCTCCGGACTGAGAACCCCCGGCTTGGAGGCTGGACCCCACGAGCACGCCAAGGACTCGACGGCCATCCAAGGGGTGGCCCTCGCCGGGGGAGGGGGGGGCGCCGGCGTGAGCTGGGCGCCCCCTACGCCCCCGAGAGAAGAGCCCCCGGGTCAAGCGGCCCCCGCGACCCCACAGCGGGAAAACGGACACCCGGGACCCCGACGGCGACGCCAGCAGCGGGGGGCGCGCCTCACCCAGCGCCAGGCCGCAGGCGGCGCGCGCGACCGCCCGGAAGCGGTCCATCTGCGTGCTCCTCTTGCTGTCGGGCTCCCACATCACCCGGCACTCCATGATCTCCTCACGCCCGGCCCGCGGCTCCTTGGACATGGCTGCGGCGGCCGGGGCGGCGGCGGGGCCGGGCAGGGGGCGGCGGGGCCGGGCCGGGCAGGGGGCGGCGGCGGCGGCGGCGGGGCCGGGGCGGCGGCGGGGCGCGGGGCGCGGGGCGCGGAGCCGGCGGCGCTGACGGCGGGGAGCGCGCGACTGAGGCGGCGCCGCCGCCGCCTCCCGCGGGACACCCGGGCGCCCAGCCCCGCGCACGCCCCGCCCTCCGCGCGCGCCCCGCCCCGTCGCGTGTAACCCTCCGCCGGCCGCGCGGCGCAAAGAGTGCTCGCCGCGGTGGGGGGGGGGGGGTGCGCGTGCGCGCAGGCGCGGCGCGCCCAGGCTGCTGCCCCGCGGGCTGCGGGCCCCCGTGCGTGCGCTCGCGGGGCCGGGCGTCTCCCTGCGGACGCGGGCGGCTCTCCAGGGTGGGTGCACACGCGAGTATGAAGCAACCTAGCCGGGAACCTGGCCTGGACTGGAGCTCCCAAATCAACTTAGCTTGTGATCCCGCGTGTCCGCGGTTGTGCTCAGCGGGCTGCGGTGTGAGAGCCCGCCGCGGCGCGGGGGCGCAGAGCCCGCTCCCCTGCGCGGCCGCCAGCGCAGGTGCGGGAAAGCGTGCGCACAACGCCGGCCGAAACCCGTGCGAAAGGGATGACACGTTTATTTTGTTCCCCAAAAACGTGTGCTCTTCACAAGCATCGTTTTTTTCATCCTTTGAGTTTCCCACAAAATTCCTGAAGATGTCCCCGGGAGCGCAGCAGAGCAACCCACAGGGTCATCAAGGGTGCTGGGTGTTAGGCAAAGAACGAGGAGGGGCAGGGGCGCCCCCTCCCCCCGGAAAGGCGACTTCGAGTTCTCTCCATGTCCAGGGGGCAGCTTCCAGGGCAGAGGGGAACAGCCAGTGCTCAGGCCCCGAGAGACCCCCAAGGAGGGCAGGGAAGCGAAGGGGGCGCAGGGGCCCCTGGAGGCCACTGCGGACTTTGGCCTGCAGCTTGGGAAAGGTGAGCCCCTCGGCAGGCTGGGGCTGGGGGGCATGCCCTGAGTGTCCCTGGGATCAGAATCCACCTGCTGCGGTGTAGACGACTCACGGTTCTGGGAGCTCCGCGGTCCAAGGCCCCGGACTCCACACCTGCTGAGGGCCCCTCGCGCGGCCTCATCCATGGCGCGGGCGTGTGCGCGGGGGAGGTGGCTGGGGCCCCCAGGCGCACCTGACACCCGTGGGGCTGAACTGGCCGCTGCGTCAGGCCACAGCGAGTCCTCAGGGGCAGAGGGGCCATGGTGACCTCAGAGAGATGAGGGTGGCGGCGCCCGGGACATGTTCTAGGGTTTTATTTACCCCCTCCCGACTGGGTTCATCTGCTCTCACAGCAACCCAGTGGTCTCCCCAGGCTGTTTGTGGCAACAGTGGAGTCGTGAAGCAACTTCCCACCTCTGCCACCGAATCGCGGCTGGGACACGGGCAACCCCCGACTCCCGCTCAGCCCTCCCTGGCCTGACCCCGCAGTTCAGGCCCCTCGAGCCCCTCGTGCCCAGGCGGTCTCCTTGGTGAAGGGGTGAGTCCGTTTCCACGCAGAAGGGACCCGGCCTTGAGAGCTCCGTGTGTTTCTGTTTGTTCTTGAACATCAGAGTGACAACTCCCTCCCAGCAGAAGACTTGGCCACGGGACCACTGCAGGTTCTCCCTGCGGTAGGAGCTGGGGAAATGAACATTCTCTCAGCAAGGCCTGGGCTTGCCTGTGGGCAAGGCAGCAAGTCCACACGGGGTGTGGGAAGCCGGCTTGACCAGTGGGTTCCCACAGGGTGGGGGAGGCTGGATTCATGCAGCCGGCGTAACTGGGTACCTCGCACTCACCCCCTTGGCACGCTGCCAGACTGCCCTGCCTCACCCATGGCCTTCTTAACAGGATCAGAGAGGGGAAGCAAAGTGTGCCCCACTCAGAGCAGAGCAGTTCCCTGGGCAGGGCATGCGAATTTGCAGACAAGGAGGAGTTCTCTCCCCCTCCCCCACCAAGGCCCAGTCCGCAGGCGGGGAAGAGGTGGGAGCCAGGAGCACCAGCCGGGAGCACCAGCCGGCAGCGCTCTCACCCTCCTCTTCTGGAAGCACGGTTCTCTGTATGCAGGCAAACAAGCCCGAGTGCTGAGGCGAGAGCGCCCGTCTAGGGGGGAGAGCGGGAAACCACGGCGACAGGGGCGGGGGTCACAGTCTGCAGCAGCAGGCGCGAGCCCGAGCCCAGGCGCTCCGTGCTGGCCTCAGCGGACTTCAGGCTGGACTGGAACGTGCATCAGCGCGGGGAAGAGGGAGCCTGGCTATAACTGAATAAACACGCTGGATGGGATCCTATACGATGCACTATTGCTCTGCCACACGGGGCCATGCACACCAAGTCCTCTCTCTCCTGGAGCAAGGTCCGTTGGCAGGGCACGTCAGCAGGGGTTCCGTGGCCCTGGGAGCAGAAGGGGAAAGGCAGCCCAGGCCTGGGGTTCTGGCCGAATCGGCAAGAGCGGTCGCCATGACTATAGCCAGTGCAGCTGTTATCCGTGCTGCCACAGCATGCAGGCTGAAGCCAGCTCCAGGAGTCTCGCTTGCGCCTTCACCTACGAGGCCTTCTGTTCACTTGGGAGCCTTCATTGCCCACGTGCCGCGGCCCAGGGCCCCTGGCCCAGGGCAGGAAGCCACCAGTGACGGCTAGGAAATGCCAGGGCCCCTCTCTCACGCCGCCGTGTCTCAGGATTCACGGGGCAGGTAGGATGGAACCTGAACCCTGGTCTTAAAATCCAGCAGCTTCTATCAAAGACTGCAAGCAAGTGGTCTTTTTTTTTTTTTTTTTTTTTTTTAAGATTTATTTGTTTATTTGAAGGAGAGAGGGAGAGACTGATCCTCCACTCACTGGTTCACTCCCTAGATGGCCTCAATGCCCAGGGCTGAGCCAGGCCGAAGCCAAGAACTAGGAGCTTCTTCCAGGTCTCTCACATGGGTGCAGGGCCCCAAGCACTTGGGCCATCTTCCTCTGCTTTCCCCGGCCATTAGCAGGGGGCTGGATCAGAAGAGGAGCAGCTGGGACTTGAACCGGCATCCATATGGGATGCTGGCGTCACAGGTGGCGGCTTTACCTGCTGCACCACAGCGCCGGCCCCCGTTTGTGTTTGTAAAGTAGGAGATTTCACATTAAAATCTGGATGTGGGGCTTTGCTGGGAAAGTCAGACGCCCTGGCGGCATCGGACTCCAGGGGCAATGCTCGGGAGGGGCTCAGAACCGGCCCCCACCCCTCAGAAGCGACGGTGTGTGCTTCCTCCGCCCACAGAGCCCCACCGGCTGGTTGCACTCTGCTCCTACTCAGTCTCTGTCCACCCAAATCTTCCAGTTTGGGAAGCAGTGCCTACGTGCCAGGCAGTCACAGCGGAGATTTACGGACTGCCAAGCGCGTGAACAGGCGGGGGCATCCAGGCCAGTCCCGGCGCTCGGCTCAAAGCCTCTTTTTGTTGCTCACCACCCCACGGGCTCCCAAATGTGTGAGAGTTAAGCCAAACAGTGAGAGCAGGTCAAGAGGAAACTCTTGGCCATGTTTTCCCAAGAATTCTGCCTCCCTGAATTGGCTTCCTATCAGAAAGATTATCATTCATGCATTCATTTACCACGTGTTTGTTTATGGAGCAACTGCCGTGTGCCGTGCATTGCTCCAGCACAAACCCTTTGCCCCCGAATCTAATGCTGGAGGGGAAAGACAGACAGACCATCGCACACTCGATCTCCCATGATGGCGGCTGGCCAGTGGGGGTCAAGGGGACACTCATGAATTTATATATTTTTTTCCAGTTCGAAAAAGAAGGGAAGACAGCATGCTTGGTGGTGCAGTGGGTGTTTTGGAAGTGTGGTCTGGCACAGCAGGCAGAGCTGCCACCGGCAGCGCCGGCATCCTAAATGTGCTCCACTTCCAGTCCAGCTCCCTGCTGTGGCCTGGGAAGCAGTGGAGGACGGCCCGAGTGCTTGGGCCCCTGCACCCGCATGGGAGACTGGAAGAAGCTACTGGCTCCTGGCTTCCGAGCGGCCCAGCTCTGGCCGTTGCAGCCACTTGGGGAGCGAATCAGCAGATGGAAGATCTCTGTGTCTCTCTCTAATTCTGCCTTTCAAATAAATCAATAAAGCTTTCAAAAAACAAAACGTGGTTGAGTAGGAACCCCCTGATGAAGTCAGCATGAGCCGACACCTCACGAAGTGAGGCATCCAGCCCAGCACTGGTCTTGGGAAGAACCTTCCAGAGGGCACAGCCAGTGCAGAGGCCTGAAGCACACGTGGCATAGTCAGTACAGCATGGCCAGACAGGCTTTGGGAGGCCACAGGCTAAGGACTCCAAGTTTCGTGAAAGTTGTGATGAGAAGCCATGGGGCAGGTTTGAGTGACGTGACTCACGTCTTGTATCGTGGCTGCTGTGTGGTCGCACAGTGGGGCTGGATTTGGGGAGCGGGGATGCAGCACAAGCAAGGATCCCAGAGGGGGTCCCACACGCACGTGGAACTCGACCTGCAAACCTCGCTACGGATTCACTATGACCTGCATGGGAACTTGCTGATGGCTGTGGCCGCAGTCATCTTGGAAGGCAGAGCTGGCAGGACGTGCGGCGGGGTCACGCGAGGCCTGCTGGGCGCAGACTCTGGGAGAACAAGTTCCTGCACCAGCCTGGTTCTGCTTGAGTCTCAACCGCAGGGCTGGAAGTGGGCTGAAGGGAGAAGAGAGGGGAGCAGAGGTCGTGAGGTGGGCAGAGTCCCCAGTAGCAGCTGTGGGCCCCTCAGGCTGTGCTGGGCACGGCCAGAAGAAAGGCAAAGAACTGCTCCCCGCTGCAGCCCAGCCGGGTCCCTAGGTTTTCAGACCAAAGGGAGACGTCCCTGCCCGGCCTCCTGGGGTGACTGCGGGAGCCCGCCCTGCGCGCTGCAGGGGTGATGGACGTAGTGGGGGTGCGGTGCCTGGAGACGTCCCTGCCCAGCCTCCTGGGGTGACTGCGGGAGCCCGCCCTGAGCGCTGCAGGGGTGGTGGACGTAGTGGGGGTGCGGTGCCTGGAGACGTCCCTGCCCGGCCTCCTGGGGTGACTGCGGGAGCCCGCCCTGCGCGCTGCAGGGGTGGTGGACGTAGTGGGGGTGCGGGTGACCATGCGCCAGATGTACCTGCAGCAATGGCTCAAAGCTCAGGCGGCCTCCCCACCCGGCTTCTGCCCAGCACTGGAAAAGCAGAGATGAGGCCACGCAGCCCACCCCCAAACAGGAGTAGGACAAGGAAGCGGGGGACAGTCACCCACTGGAACACTCTGCAGGAGCTGCAGCTTGGACAAGGAAGCCGGGGCTGGTGCTACGCCACCACACAAGCATCCCACGTGGCCGTGGGTTGAAGTCCTGGCTGCTCCACTTCCAGATCCAGCTCCCTGCTAATGTGCCTGGGAAAGCAGCAGAGGATGGCTCAAGTCCTTGGGCCCCTGCACCCGCGTGGGAGAACTGGCTTTGGCCTGGCCCAGCTCCAGACATTGCAGCCATTTAGGGAATGAGCCAATGGGTGGAAGAGTTTCCTTCTCTCTCTCTCTCTTGCTATAACTCTGCCTTTCAAAATAAGTAAAATAAACTTTAAAAAAAAAAAAAAAAAAAAAAAAACAAAGAAGCCACAGCACACGCAGACTATGGCTTTGCTTTTATACAAAGGTCACAGGCAGGCAAATCCGAAAAAAGTTGTTGTTAGGAAGACAAGCGTTAGAAAAACACAGAAACGAGCAAAGAAGCACTAAGCAACATTCTGGACGTGGGTTTCCTCCCAGGGAAAAGAGGGGTGAGTTTAGGGAGGAATTTTTAAGGTGCCGGTCGGCAAGCACACAATGTGCGCTCTCGAGTCTCTGAACTCTCTTCACTATGTCCAGTCTTTTGCATGCTTCATACAATCATAGCTTGAAAGGAAGAGGGGCCGGCTGTGGCATAGCAGGTAAAGCCACCGCCTGCAGCGCCAGCATCCCACATGGGCACCGGTTTGAGTCCCGGCTGCTCCACTTCTGATCCAGCTCTCTGCTGTGGCCTGGGAAAGCAGTGGAAGATGGCCCAAATCCTTGGACCCCTGCACCCACATGGGAGATCAGGATGGAGTTCCTGGCTCCTGGCTTCAGCCATTTGGAGAATGAAACAGCTGATGCAAGATCTCTTTGTATCTTTCTCTCTCTGTGTTGCTCTGCCTTTCAAGTAAATCCTTTTAAAAAAAAAAGTTGACCTATAAGCTTCATCGTTCTCAAAGAGATGACTGAGAAGGAGC